TATTTATATTTTTTAAATAAAATTTCAAAATTCAAAATATTCAATAGCAGGTTCGGATTCGAAGACTGCTTCCCCACTAGATCAGGATATCAAAAGACTTTCCATGAAGCGAAAACTTCATCTAATTAAGCACAAAAATTAAAATAATAACCTTTTCGGCAAAATTTGTGTGCAAAACAATTTTTGTAGAATTTCTAATTTCTTCATTACATTGACTACTTAAAATATTATCTGCTTCGCTTAAAAGTTGTAAACTAATATTTTTTGATGATTCATATAAACCTAAATATATTTATTTTTAAAAAATAATTTATTTATTTATTTACTTGTATTAACATCATGCATTTTTACAGATTTAATTGTTCCAAAATTTGTATTACATTTATTTATTAAAATATCTTTTTCTACCCAAAAACAATTATTTTTTTCTTCTTCTTCATTATTTGGTAATACAAACATTCCATATTTCTATATATTTTAAAAAATAATTTATTTATTTATTTATTTATATATTTATTACCGTTATATTATTTGTCCAATAATTTACAATTTCTTCACAAAATTGTTTATAATCTTTAATTATTTATAATTAATTATTTAAATTAAATTAATTACCATCAATTACTTCTTTTTGTTCAGTCTCAAAAAGTTTAAATGAAAAAGAAAAAACAAAAATAATATTTGTTGTTGTTATTATATTTTCTTTTTTTTCTTTAAAATTATTTATTTGATTGTTTTTAATTTTATTTTGTTGCAAATATTTTAAAGATTTTATATCTTAAAAATAAAATAAAAATTAATTTAAAAATAAATATTTAATTAAAAAGGGTGAAATTGAAATTAATTTTTGATATTTTGAATAAGTTTATTATCAAAAATAATTTTAGTTAAATTATATGTACATATTTACCTTGTATGAAGATAATTGTTATTAAATAAAAAATAAAAATAATTAAATACAATAATTTAGACATTAAAAAAGTTATAAATTAATTTAGAAATATTTTAAATAAATATTTTTTTTGATAAGAAAATTTTAAAATAAAATAAAATAAATATTATCTTTTAGCAAAATTAAAAAAATTTACTAAAGCGGATTATTTATTAAAAGTGTTTTGAAAAATTTTTTTGGTTAAAAATCAAATTATTAACACAAAATTATTGGGTAAATTAATATAAAAGAGAGAAGAAAGAATTTGATTATTTATTCATGTTACCTAATTTAAATTGTTCTTACCCTTCAAAAAATAAATAATTTAGAACTAAATATTTGAATATAAATTTGGAAAAAAACATTAATAAATACAGAATATTTTTGAAGTTAAAGCTGAGAAAACAATCGAAAAATCTCTCAATAACAATCAATGTATACTAAATCAAACTCAAAAATAAAATTATATTTTTATTTTTGTCAAATTATTTCTTACAATATTATAATGAAAATTAAATATTTTCCCAATATTTAATTAATAACATTTCATATTCAAACAGACAAAAAACTAGGGTTACCGATTTGCCTGAACTAACCAGAAGACTGAGGGTTTTTCAGTTTTTCTCGTCATCTCTAGTAAGGGAGAGAGAGATAGAAGTCTTTAAAAACAATTAAACAACTTAAACTTAATCCAAAATTAGCTTTACCATTTAACTCGATTTTTGAATTTTACTGTTTTATGAAAATTTTGACTGAACTAAAAAGGTCAATCACAATATTCTCTATTCCTTTCCGAGAGTATTTCAAATAAAGAAAAGAAACAAAAAATAATAGTGATTTTAGTGTAAATAATCAAAATAATAAACATAATGCTAATGAATTTAGTTATTTAATTTTACAAAGACTATAACATGAAACGTTCAAAAATTCTACAATTTATATTTTATTTGCTTAACTAATACATATCTCAGACTTAATTAATATAAGAATAATTTAACAAAAAAATTAAAATATATTTTTTCAACTTCTTTTTATATTTTCTTTAAAAATCCTCCATTACATCGACACACACAAATAACTCTAAACGGGCACTTTAGATTTACTTTTATTTTTTTCCAATTTAATAAATTTAATAAAATTTTTAAAGCTATTTGTTCTTTTTCTTTTAAGCTCTTTCTTAATTTTTCCATTATTTTTGTTTTCATTACTTTCATTGTATTTTCTCTTTTTTATATTTTTATAATTTTCTTCTTTGAATATTTCAGGAGTCAATCTTTTAATATTTTTATTGTCTTTAATTTCATTCATTTCTATTTCTTTATATTTTTCATTTTCAATTGCAGGTACAATTTCATTTTTAGTGGCAGAAGTTGAAGCTTCATTGTCAACTAATTTATTTTCTTTTTTTATAGGTGATTCATTACCTTCAAAGTCTTCCATACTTTTGATAAATTGTTTTATAATTTCTTCACCTTTTTCATTTTCATTATCAATATAATCATTATCATTATCAATTTTTCCTTTTCCTTTCCATTTTCTATTATATTCAATCATTTCAATTTCACCTTTGTTTTCTTCAAAAACTTTTTCATTAAATGATTCACTAGAATTATCAGAACTTTTTTGAATAATACTAAAATCATTATTAATCTCTTCATTCTCATTATCTTTATTTTCTTTAATTTTAAAATAAAAAAGAAATAATTTTGACATCTTTCTCAATAAATTAAATTGTAAATCATTAAATCCTCTAAAGCTAGAATCAAAATATCTTGCGTGAAATTTAAGCGACATTTCTTCAATGTCTTTCTCTTTACATTGTTCCATAGACATTGTAGAACAAAAACTTGAATCCTCTGGTATTTCTCTTCCAGTTAATTCTTTAAAAATATCTCTACTGTCATAATTATCCTTTTCTTGCAAACATTCACATTTATTTTTTGTAACTTTATTTAAAATCCCTAATCTAAGTAATCCGTTATTTGCTTTTAAAAATGTTTTATTTAATTTTTCCATTTTTTCTTGAATAGAGATATCCGATTGAGGATTTATAAAAGATTCTAATGCTTGACTTAAAGCTAGACCTTCTTTTATTGAGCTTTTAATTGCTGTAAATTTACATTGCTTCTCATTTGAAATTGCCTAATAATTTATAATATTATTATTATTTATATAGGAGAAAAAATTGGAGATGTATTTTAGATTCATTTAAAAATCATGAGTCATTTTTAATTAAAGTTTATACAAATATGGAAGACAAATAGAAGGGAAAGGAAGAACAAGAGTCTAGTTCTCCTCATTAAGATTGGTAAATTCTTGGAAATTTTCAGATTTTGGATTTTTAACATCCTGATATCCAAATCAGAAAACTCTACTTTTCAAGTAAGTATCCAAATAATGACTTTAATAATCTGTACTAGAGAATGAACTGGGAGATTTTGAGAAAATCGAGATTAATATATTAAAATAATACATACATTAATTTCACTTATTACTTCTTTAAAATTTTCTATTAATTCTTTGGCTAACTTTAAAATCTTCGAATATTTTTCAATTAAAGTTTTTAAAAATTTTTCTTCATTTTCCAATTTTAACATTTTTTCTTTAATTCTTTCCTTCTCTAAACAATCTTTTCTAACAATACCACAAGAGAAAATTTTTAAATATTTTGAGAATTGTTTTGATTTTTTAATTTTATTTATTTCTTCTCTTTTTTTAATTAAAAATTTATTTAAAATATTTTCAATTCCAATTACAATTTTCTTTCCAAAAAAATAATTTTCTTTCAAATCATTTCCTACTTCTCTTTCAATTATTGTTTTAATTCTTTCAACTTTAGGCAAAATATCAATAATTATATGTTCTGTTAATTCGTCATTTGTCCAAATTTTTGCTGCAATTAATCCTCCATAATTACCCAAATCATTAGCAAGCTTCATTTTTGGATTAAATAAATTTAAATTTTCATCAATATTTTTATTAGAATCTTAAAAATTAAAAATTAATTTTAAAAAATATTCTTTTAACAAAACCTTCGTATAAACATAAATCAATTAATTCAAAAATATTTTCCTCTAAATTAATTTGAATTTTTTCCAAATCATTATTCGACGGCGGTACAAGTTCAGCTTTAACTCCTTCCATTAAAAGATTTAAATCGCTTTTACATTTATTTAGTCCTTTAAAAATAAATAATATTTTTATTTATTTATATTTAAATTCAACCTTCAATATCATCATTTGATAAAAAAATATTTTTACTACAAATAAAAGAAATTAAAAATAAATTTATTAAAATAAATAAATTATTTTTAATAGAAAAATACATTTAAAAATAAATTGAAATAACAACTAAAAAATAAAAAATTTTTTTAAATAAATAAAATTAATTAAAAAAATTTTTTATAAAAATGACTTTTTATTATTTTTAAAAGCAAGTTAAATAAATTATTGAATGTTTATTTATTTTTAATAAAATGCGTGGATTTTCTTTTTATTCTTGCCGATTTATGCCCTTTTAATTTATTTTTAATTTGTCTATTTATACATTAGCGATGATGCACTAAAGTGCAAATATTTCGAAATTGTAAAGTTAAAGAAATTAAAAAATAATTTTAAAACTATTTTCTACTCTTCCCAGAAAATGTCAAAGATTGGATGAGAATTGTCCTCCGAGAGCTCTCCTATGTATGTAATATAAACTGCTATATCCTCCTCCCACCGACTAATTGTCTTCGTTTATGCTTTACATATTAACTAAATCTGAGGGAAACCGTCGTCCTTACAATTTTTAAACGAAAATATTTGTAAAAATGTATAGGTAGTTATTCTTTCAACAAAATCCTAAAAATTAATTAAAAAACTAAATAAAAATTTATATATAATCTAAATTTTGTTACATAATTTTTTGGAAATTAAAAAAAGACATTTAAATAATCAAGAATAATGCAATAATAAAAAATAATCTTTTAATAATAAAATTTGAAAGTAACACACTTTTAAAACATCCTTTTTTGTTCTCTATACATTTAATTTTATACACTTTACACTTCTTGATATACACTTCACTTCAATTTAACTTTATTTTAGGCATATTTTCCAAAATTCCAAGACTTTTAGTTCTCAATTTAGTTCCACACATCAAATAATTTAAACAATTTTCAACAAATTTTTTAGTAAATTTTTTGTTGTTTTTAATTTTCTTTAAAGGAATAATTGCTTTAATTTCATTATCCCCTTTTACTTCTTCATTACTATCAAATTCTTTAATTTTAAATATTCCTCCAATTAAAATATTCCATTCAATTTCTTCCAAAATTTTTTCAATTTCTTTAAAATAATTTTCATTTTCTTCTCTTACAATAATCAATTTTTTATATTCTTGAAAGTTTTTTGCCATTTTTATAATTATTTTCATCATTTTTATATTAAAATTTAATTCAATACCGTCCATCAATATAGACGTAAATGAATCTAAATTATTTATTGCCGATTCTTGTTCAAAAGGCAATTCTCTTTCAGTTAATTTTTTATAAATTTTTGCTTTATTTTCATCAATTTCTTTATCATTTTCTAAATTTTCATTTGCCAATAAAGTAAATTCTTCTTCAGTTATTTCCTCCAAAATTCCAAAACGTAAAAGACCATTTTTTGCATACATAAAAGCAAATTCAACAAAAACTTTATTTTTCCAATTTTTTTCAATTTTATATTTATCTAATCCTTTTTCAAGATATTTTTGTTCTTTTGTTGAATTATTTAATATTTCTATTCGTTTTTGTTGAAATAATATCTTTAAAAAATAATAAATTTATTTTTAAATTTACAAATCTGTAGCAGTGCTTTCAGTAGCTTATCAAAACCAGCAAATTTCAAATTTATAAGTAACTGGTTAGTAGACAAAAATTTTATTTAAGACAAAAACATTTCTGCTTTTTCATTAAAAATATTAAAAATTCTTTTACATTCCTAATCTTTCTTTAAACTAAAGTCCCCACAAAAGTAATTTATGTATCAGGGTTGCCGCCAGAAACCCGATACCCAAAAAGAAAATTTTCTAACACGAAACCCGTACCCGAAATTTTTGCCAACCCGAAACCCGGAATGAAAACGCTCCAACCCTATACCCGAACCCGAAGATTTTTTGTACCCGCGGCAACACTGCTACATAAATATGTATTTTAAATATTATTAACCTTATTGTTAGAATTATTTTCGATTTTTGTTTTCTCGAATGTTATAATTTTTTGATAAATTTGTATAATTAATTTATAATGTTTTTTTAATATTTTCAAAATAATTTTGTTAATTTTATTTTCTTTCTTTTTATTAAAAGATAAATTTGTTAAATTAAATTTTGATTTATCCAATTCTCCAAGTACTTTAATAATTCCTTTAATTTTTTTATTTTTAATATTTAATTCAAAATTTTCAATTTTTGACTTAATTTCAATCAAAAATTCTTTAGTTTTATCAAAATTTTCATTTAAAAATTCTTTTAAATCTTTAGCTTTCCACAATTCTTTTGCCAAAAATCCACCAATATTTATTCCATTTTCATCAACAATTAACTTTTTAGGTAAAATACTTAATAATTCATTATTTAATTCTTCTTTTAAATTAATCACAATTGTGTCTGGTATTTCCCAAGAACAAATATTTATCAATAGATGAAGACAATCAAAAATTTGTTCAATATTTAAATTTGTTTTCTTTTCCCAACAATGCTCATTTTTTACTTTTTCGATATCATTTTGTGTTTTAAATCTTTTACCAATTGTTTTTAAATTTTGTTTAACACCAAAAACATTATCGAAATAAATTAAACAAAAATAAAAGAAAATTGTTAAATAAATTAATTTAAAATAATAATTAAAGGGCATCTTTTTAAATCTGTCAATAAAAATAAGAGTAATGAATAAAGAATTTTAATAGAGGGAGGTGAGGAGGGCGAAGTCCTGTGATAAATAATATTAATTGATTCTTTTTTTTTTATAAATTTCAATAATAAACAATAAAAATTAATTTTAATAGCTACCCACCCCCCCCCTCTCTTTAAATTTAGACTTTGTTTGGCCTGACAAATAAGTTGAAGCTATTTTAGTTTTTATTGGATTAAATATGTTTTAAATTTTACCTAATTTGTATTTTGACTTTTTTGTGGGAACGTGATAATTTTAATTGAATTACCTAGGTGGATTTTTATATTAAGAACTTCCCTCCAAGAGGTTTAGGCCTAAATTTTTAATATAGTCTCAAGAGTTTATCCTCTAGTTTTTGACATTGTGGCAAGCAGTACTCCATTGTTCACACAGACAACTTAAAACTAGGAATTAACAAAGAAAAACTAGTTCTATTTATTTAAATACTGTAATTGTAAATTTAATTTATAACAATCCGTTTTTGTAGTTTATTTCTTATAAAATAAAAATATTTAAACGTCAATTTAAAATCGACTGACTAATTAATAAATAAAATTCATTGATTATCTTGTGGATGTTGTTAGCGGCAAGCAGTCTATTGTAAAAGGGCATCGAGAGTGCATTGAGAAATAGGCATGGGGGGGGGGGACTTGAAAAGGGCATTTATAAAAAAGCCAAAAAATCGAAAATTGATATTCGAATTTAAATTATGTTTTATTTAATGTTTCTGGCAATGTTCTTGGCAATTTTTCTTATTGAACAATGCACCGAGGTTTTTTATATCATGTATGTATATTGGTGATTATAATCAAAGAAATTAACAATAATAAAAAATTTATTCTAATATAAAAGCTGCTTGTATATAAAATAAACAAAAATTATTAAAGAATAATAAATTAATTTAAAAATTATCTCATTTGATCCGTCATGTATCAAATAATTTAAAAAAAAAATTTTTCTCTTAAACGTTTGGTTGATGGAACGGAAGTAGAATTACTGATACATAGAAGTAAAAGTGCTTTAATTAATTAAATCATATTCCAATGATGATTTGATCTTAAAGTAATTGTGTTAATCTAACAATTAATTAATTATTAATTTAGAGTTATTTCAAAATATACATATTAGACAATTTATAAATTAATAAGGGTGATGTAATTAAATTAATAAGAATTATTTTATAAGAATCATCCTTAGAAATATAAAATTAATAATTGTGATGTAAATAAAAAACTTTAAGTGTAAACTGGGAGATATTTAAATTTATTATATAAATATATTAATTTATTTTTAATTTTTTTATTTCTGATAATTTAATATGCTTATTTTCCTTTCCTTCAACATAAAGGCTTTATTATCAGGGTAGCCAATTCCAAAACACGAAAATAGGGATTCAACAATTAAATAAGGTAAATATCAGGTGAAACTCGAGAATGGGCAACCACCCTGTTTATTATTCACTTGAAACAATAAGCAAGATTTGAATTTATATAAACGAAAAAATTGAGTCAGAAAAAAAACATTTTAAATCATTAAGTAATAATTAATACCAATTTAAATTAAAGATTTCAATTTATTTACACATATTTCTTTATTTATTAAGTTTTAAAATGTTCTTCTCTCAATTATTTAATTTTCCTAAAATTATTAAATATTATTTGATTTTTAATTTAATAGTTAAAGAAAATAATTCAATGAATTTAAAGCAAAATATACAAAATCCTCGTAAATTATTTGTAATAATAGTAGCTAAATAATTAAATTTTATGTGTTAAGTAATAGGATAGAGACTTGACCAGGAACGTGAAATTAATATTAAATTTCGTTCTAATCTCCAATAAATTTAATGCTGTCATTTTTTCGTTTGGCACCCCCTCCTCTCCCCCCGCTTCAGATTCACGATTTTCGACATCTTTAGCATTTCCTTCCAATCTCTGGTTATTTTAATTAGAGAACTGATCGAGACTATATATCAAACAAAAATCTTGGTTATCGAAATTGAGGTTTTCCGACACTCCCAATCTGTCTCTCCAATGCCAAAATTATTTCTCGTCTCTTTTAAAATAATAAAAAAATGTATATTTTTATAGCAAATCTTCAAATGTTTGGAAATAAAAAATATTTCCAACCAAATTTCTTCTCTGTAAACGTTGGAGGTTCAAAATTCTCCGAGAAATTCTTAACAAAAATTAAAGCAAAAAAAGAGCCTAACTGGTATGAGAAAAACAATATTTATTATAATATTTCAAAATCTTCAAAAAAAGGAAATGTTAATTTAGCAAAAGAATTAGCAGAAAATTATTTAAAAGAAAATAAACAAATTAAAATAGCTAAAGAATGTGGAATTGAAATTAATTTTTTAGAAAAAATAAAAGAAAATGAAAGAAATAATTTTAAAAATATTTTAATATTTCTTTCATTTTTGAATGAAAATGCTCAAAAAGAAAATTTATTTTTAGCTGTTGATGCATTAAAATCTTTAAATTTACTAGAAAAATTAAAATTGGAAAATGCAGAATTTATTAAATTGACAAAATATTTAATAAATAATTGTGATGATGAAATAAATAAATTGGAGGTCGAAAAATATTTTTTATAAAAAGTAATTTATAAAAAATATTTTTTAGAAAGAATTATTTAATTCTGAGAATAATGAAGATTTAGATGATTATTCAAAAAAGAAAATGAAACTTGGCGCTTTCTATTATATGAAATATATTAAATTAAATGAAGAATTAACTAAATTAATTGGAAATAAAAATAAAAATGATAAAGAAATAATTTTAGAAAATTTAGATAATTTAATTGAGGAATTAATTAAATATAAAAAATTCTTTTTGGAAATTAATAATCCTAAAAATTTTGGTAACTCGATTATTAATGACGAAATTATTTATGCTAAAAATAAATTGAAAGATAATTTAGAAAAAGAATTGTTGTCTTTAGAAGAAGGTAAAAAAGGAATTTTTAAAAAATTAATTTAGTAAATTTAATTTTAGAGTTGAATTATGTAAAGGAGTTAGTAATTAAAACAAATAATTTTGAGCTATTTAAAAATCAAATTAATAATAAAGATGATAATGAAAAGTAAAAAGAAATAATTATGTAAAACACCAAAAATTATTATTAATTTTAAACTGTTAATAAATAATATTTTTAAATGATATTGTTAAAATTTGATTATTTATTAAATAAAAATTTTTATTTAATTTTTAGTATAAATTTAAATTTTTTATAAAAATATTTTTAATTTAATACAAAAATCTCCACAACTTTATCAATTTATCATAAAATAAAAAATATAATCATTAAAAAAGTTGAGACTAAAAATAATTTTCAAAACCGGAAATAGAAATCAATATAAAATAAAAACACGTATTGTAAAATTAAAATAATAAAATTCAATGAGTGATTAATTATAAAATTAGAGAATATAGGAATTTTAAATACAGAGACTAGAAAAGTATGAAATAAAGAATTAACAAAAATTAAATTTTTAAAGCTCCTAACATATATGTATTTTTCATAAAAAATTCTTTTAACTTCAAATTCATGAGATTTAATAATATTAAAAAGCTTATAAGGGAACCTTCCGAACTGTGACCAAAAATTTTTAAATAAAAATTATAGCATCGTGTGGAACACGGAAAATTAATTTCATAAAACTTTCTAGGCGTTAATATAATTTTTATTTAGGTGTAATAAGTTTAAAATAATATTTTTCATTTAAATTTTTAGCTAAAGAAATGCAAAATTGAGAATATATTTAATAAAAATGACTAGAAGTAGAAAAGCATTAACCCGAATAAAAATATGAGAAAATTAAAAATAATTGTTATAATAAAAACAAAATCTGGGCATTTAATTGGCATTTAATTGATTAATTAATGTCGACCATCCAAAGCATCCAAATATTTGTAGTCAATAATTCGAGGTATTAGAATGTGTCTAAAGTTATTTTTTATTTAAAAATATAAATGCTTTTCAGTTAACCGAATTGGCAAGAAGCAAAAACAAACAATTGGAAAGACCATTTCTATGAAAGGATAAGGGCTAAAACCAACAGCACAAAGAATAATTAATTGAATGAGTTGGCAAGTTGTAAATAAATGAACTTTACGTTGTGGTACTCGACGAATGTAATGAGTTGGAGGGTATGCTTGCTAAAAAAAAGATTTAAAAATTTTTTGTCATGTCCATCCAACCTGTTCAGTAATAAGTAATAACAATCTTTCAACCATTTCATTGCCTGACAATGAAGTGAATGCCATATAAAGGAAAAGGCCGTGTAATACAGAAGTGGGAATAGATTGTAAGGGTGATGGTAGAAGAAAAAACGTCGAAGCAAGGATTAATATATGAGCTATTAATGTTGCTAGTCGAGTTTCTCTTACATTCATTATTCTAAAAAATATTTTTTAATTCCTTTTTGAAACAAATTTTGGAGGGAAGAATTTCCAGTAAATTAAAAATTAGTTGCGGAATTATAATCCAATTAATTCAAATACTCACACTTCATGTACATGTCCTTGAGCTACTCTTTCCTCTACATCAGCCAATGCTCTAACATGAAGTGGAGAATGAGGTAAAGCTCCATGCATCCATGGAAGTCCCATAACAGAGAGGAACATGTTTAAAATAGAAACAACAAGTAAATCTAAATGTTGAGCACTTCCCTTCTTTAATTTATTTTGATTATTATTAACAATAGCTGAACAAATATTTTGATCCATATAAAAAAGAAAAGAGAGGAAAAAGCCAAGAATGAAGCAAACAAAAATAGCCTGCCAAGAGAGGCGCCAAAATTCGGGAATTTTAAGAAGAGAAACATCTGCCCTCATATGAAAAATATCTTCTGAAATTTTTTTTTCAAATTTTAATTGAGTAAAATAAATTTACTATCAATTTTAGAAAATGTATGTTCTCCAAGAAATGACATTATAAGAACAGAAGCAGGTAATGCATAGTCAGCAAGCCATTCACGCCTTGATCGTGTCAAATAAGGAGTTTTTCTAAAGTTATAAAGAAACAGGGCAACCCATAATGTTCCAAACATTAAAAGAAGATAAAGAATAAAAGTATCTCTATTACAACCATTTTCAATCTGTTTATATAATTAAAAATAAATTTTATTTATTTTTTAATTTTAAATTACCTGTGGATAGATTAATTCTGTTGTATTTGTTAATATTTTTTGGTTTAATAAAGAAAAGTTTTGAGGTTGAGCAACTGATGTTGTGTCAATACAGCTTAGATAGTTATCGATGAAACCTGATAAATAAAAGTTATACATATACTAGGTAATTTCATAAAAAATGGTGTTTTAACAAAAATAGTTATAGAATTTTTATAATCGTTCAAAAGCTGTCAAATTTTGGATATGTCTTTTTTAGAATGTTTTCTAATAGATCCCAAAATTTGAGAATTTTCCGTTGGTATTCAGGGAGTTGTGGCGAAAAACCCATCGTAGATTTTGGATATCTCAAAGCTTGCGGACATCTACAAAAAATTTTATAACTATTTTTGTAAAGCCGCAATTTTATGAAACAACCTAGTAAATTAAAAAAAATATTTTTATCGGACAGATTATTTATTAATTATGTATTTAAAAATTAAAAAAACTGTACTTGTATGAATTGCTCTAACACTTTCAACAGCAAAAGCAATAGCTATAAAAAGTGAAAACATTTCTTCTGCTGATCTTGTTGCCAATTTCATTAAACTACAAAGTTCAGTAGCTGCGTAAATAACTAGAAAAAATTGACACCAAAGGCCAACACAAGCATACATTGCGAAAAAATCATAACCAAGGGATTCTGATATCCTATATATTACTTTAATATATATTGCTAGAGGGACAGTTGTTAATAAAATAATCATTGGTTGGCCACCAAAAGCAGCAAAGAAAACTCCTCCGATTGCCTGAAAATTATTTTTTAAAGGTATTTTTGGTTCAATTTCGGATATCCGAAGATTTTTCCAAAAACCGACAACCCTAAATTTAAAAAAAGAAATTCTCTTATAAATTTATTCAAATTTTATAAAAAAAGTCTGAATGCGAAAAGAGAGAGAGAGAAATTGGTCGGGATTATCGTTTATATTTAAATAATTTTTTTATTAAATTATTAATTATCTCAAAATTAATTTATAAAAAAAAATTAAATAAAAGTTTTTGTTAATCTGCACCTGAGCAAGTATTCCTTTTCTAACATTAATTCTACCACCCGTATTATCATCATTGAGCACACCAAAAGCAATTGCGGGAAGAAGACAAGCAAAATAAAGAAAAATAATTGAAGAAAACATTTTTTGCATTGTACGATGACCTCTTAAACCTTAAAAATAAATAATATTTTTTAAAAAATATTTATATGTAATCAAAAAACAGACCATCTAAATAGTCAGAAATATAATGCTTTTTGCGCATTTTAAAGTCTTCTATGAGACCACGAAATGGAAAGAATTTGCCTAGACCAAACTGAAATAACAAAAAAACATAAAAAATTTAAAAAAATTTATAAACTTACAACTTGTTCTTTTGCTTGACTTAAATGAATCGAAGATTTTCTTTCTCTCCATTGTGATTGTTCAAGTGCTAATTCTTTTGCTGCTTCCAAAAGTGTTGCTCTAAATGCCTCAACTGAATGGGCCATTACAAGACGTTGTCTAATATCCATATCAGCAAAAAGTGTGGCAAATGTTCTTGTTGTTTCTAATGCTGTCTTTGTGCCTTTCTATAGAAATATAAAGAAATGGTAATCTTTTGAAGTTGCCCCCCCCCCTCCCCCCTCATTCCTGACTATTATGAGATTTTTTTGCTGAATATGTAATTTATTATAAATCATTCGAAAGAGCTCTTCGAGCTGGGTGGAATAATACCATTATTGGTTAAATTTGATCATCTTGAACAAAATAATGAAACCAAACCCTTGATGGAAGGGCTTTTATGCGCATCATGGGATTAGATCGTCATAACTTCATTCACACGAGTCAGATTTCGTTATTTTAGGAATTATCTATGTATGATTTGCCATAAAATGAGAGAAAATAAAACAAATAGAAATGGGAAAAAAGGGGGCGACTTCCAAAGTATCACCAAAAATATTTTCAAATTAATTCTAAATTACCGCTCTAGATGGAGCAATAACAATAATAATAAAACGGAGATCTTGCATTGTTCTGCCCAAATTGGTTGGATGAGAAAGGCGAGCAATAGCTACATGACGGTGCTGGACAGTACTTAGCATACAACTATAACATTATAAATATTAAAACATGGTACTTTCTGATAAAATTCACAGGAAAATGTATTTCACATTAACTCGAAGGATTATTTTTTAATTATTATGAAAATTGAAAAAGATAGGGTAATTATCCAAGGAAGGCAATCGAATAATCACAGTATACGAGAAATATACATATATCATGACTAGGGATCGGATTTTTAGGTTATAACCTATTTGTTTGCGAAATAGTCCTGTTTAACTGAGCTCAAATCCATTTTTATTTCCTAAAAATCTTTTGTTTACGGGATTTATTATCAACATATTTGAACCTATTTTGCCGTTTTTCAACCTAAAATAGGTACTATTTTTATGTTTTTACGACCTAAAAATAATGTTTCTACTCCATTGAGTAAAAAACAAAAAAGTAAAATATATAAAAAATATTACAGAGCACAAATCCATGTTTGATCATAATCAAAAGTTCCACCAACTGTGCCAGTTGTGCAAATGCTTTGTACTGTTCGACTCAAAATGTGAACTAAAAATAATTAGACATATTTTTTAAAGTAAAACACATCATACATTGATTTCCAGCATCTTGCGTAAAAAGAACAGAACGAACTTGTTCGCTAGTAAATTCTGGTTCTTGGATATCCATTTCATGAATTATTCTAAAATTTAAACAAATACACACTAAAGAAATCCGTAAACTAACTTTGCAAAAATTTCTTCTAATGAAGTTTCTTGCAAATCCAAAAGTAATACAGCTTTATTTAACAAGTGGTCAATGTCCATTGTTGCGCGGATTTCAGATCCAAAATCTTTCATTGGAATTTTTTCATGTTTTGAATACATCAAAGTCACATTGTCAAACTCGTCTGCAGAAATAATTGAATATAATTTAATAGTTTAATAATAAAATTTTTTCAAAATAATCATGTCGCAATATGTCCCAATACCCCTAAACAGGATTCGTTTTACCAATATTGCTCCAACTCATTGTATCAATTGGAGGTGTATCAGCACAGTCCATTGTATCATAACCAAGTGTGTCATCTACTCCACCAAAAAGAGTACCGCTGTTGTTATTTGTGTTGTTTAATTGGAGAAGACTGCCCAATTGACTATTTGATGAACGAGTATCACAAAATCTTGAATCCTTTCCAGAACAATTATCGATAAGAATTCCACTACTATCTCTCTTTTTTGGAAAGCGAGGAACTGCTCCGTGTTGAGAATCTGTAGCAATGCTAGATCCTCCGCTAAAATGAGCTGCTGCAGCTACAGCACAATCTTGAAGGCTTTTCATCGAAAGCCAGCTAACACGTTTATGCATTGCTGCAGGTAAGCTGCCTGTTGGTATAAATTCTTTTCCAACAAAACCGAGTTGTCCACTTTTTATGTCAGAAGGCTCGCTTGTTTCTACACTATCACTATTATTATTTTCATTCATTCGATTATGTTGGGCACTTCTGAGATATGAAGATGAAGAAGGCAAATGCCCGATAGCTCTATTTCGATGATTATAAAGAAGTGGGTGGTGCGAGGAAGGACCAGAAGTAATTCCACCAGTAACAGCAATATTTAGTATTGGCTGAGAAGAACGCCGAAAAAAAGGTCGATTTTTGGGAGGGGCATGCCGAAATGACGGAGTTGGCTGAACTTGTGTTGGCATTGTCGAAATTTTTCCAACATTCGCACTGGCAATGGCTGCTGCAAAACCTAGAGTAGATCGGAAGGCAATTGCAGGAGCAGCTGTATGAACGGATTGTCGCCTATTGATTTCACTTAATGAAGTCCCTGTAAAACAAAAATTGATAAAATATTCCAAAGTTATTATAACCAAATCCTGGGTTGAAAACAAGTTTGTCACTGTTATTAACAAATAATTGTTGCTGATTTTGTCCAAAAACAAATTTACAGTTCCCGAGGGTCTGTGTACCCGGTGAAGGATTTCTACTTTGAATTGCTGTTGAATTTGAATGAGAATGAATAAGAAGATCGAATTCATCTGTTGCCTCTTCACCCGTATTAACTTCTTCCTTATCAATTCCTCCTTCCACAGCTCCTTTAATGGATATATCAATATTGTTAATTAATGGGTAGCATTCATCACTCTTTTCCTCCTTAATTTCAACATAATCTTTGTTGCTAAAAATTTCGGTCGGACATGAATGAATTGAATGCTCAGAAATTGTAGAGGTTCGACGTTCTTGTTCAGGAACAAATAGAAGAGTTTGTGGTAAACAGTTTTGGTGTGTAATAATTAATGGAGCTGCTGATGCTGCATTACTAGCAATAGGAGCAGAATCAATGCTACAAGGCGAGTTTGTTTGGTGTGAGGAACAATTTAATCCAGAAGAATTCGAAGGAAAGTAAGAAAAAGAAGTAGATTGCGTCCCTTCAGCACAATTACATTCAAAAGAGTTTAGAACTTTGTTTGGCAATATTTTTGGTTGTTTTAAATCTTCTTCATCTTCAATTTCCTCGATTAGAGCTTTAGGTGCTTTTTTTGGTCCATTAGGAATGATTAACATTTTTATGTTGTTTGAACTAACTAATTTATTGCTGCAATTATTGTTATTATTAATATTTTGTTTTTCTACATCATCATTCATTACTTATTTTAAAATTTACACTAATTATTTCTTTAATTATATATGTAGATATTTAAACAGTTTGATAAAGAAAAATATTTTGGCGATTAAAATCCTTCCTTAGCACACCATTTTTGGAAAAATTGTTTGCCGATTTATTTTTTAATTAATTTTTTTAAATGTTGTGGTTTTGTTTTTGAGGTTTAAATTATTTTTTAACTGAGAGAACAATTGTTGGGGACATGAAGAAAATAAACAGCCAACTGCCAATTTAAAGAAATTAATTATAAGAAGATCAATGAACTCTAAGTTAATTAAATTAAAGTCTAAAAATCATTGTGGGAAATTATATTGAATTAGAAAATATTTGAAAGCTAATGAAGAGAAAAAAATAATAATAAAAAATAATTTTGTGAAATTATTCTAGAATTTAAAATCAAAAGTTGGTTATGATTAAAGACCGTTTATGAAATCTTTTTTGGAAATATGAAAAATCAAAAGATATATCTAAATGACGCAAATACAACAATCTCAGTAAAACTGACAAATTCATCCCCTTCTTTTTATAAAAATAAGATATAAATACAACGAAAAACATAAGCGAATATTGGGGGTATTAACAGATAGAGAAATTCCATAGAAAAGATAGGAGAATTCTCTGAGGGCATTTGAGTGCTAAATCAAATTAGGCAATTTAAAGAGCGGAAAACGGCAGCCCTGGCAAAACGTGACGAACGGCGGATGAAAATGCATGAATGTCCACGAATGGATAGAAGAGGCGGAAGTGCCGATACATCTGTTTGTTGTCTCGCAATATAAAAGCAATTTGTGTGTTTAGAAAGATTTTGGGAAAAGTTTTAAGCGTTTGGAATTTCTCTGTGTATATGGAATTGTCATTATAAAACGAATTAACAAAGCTGACTAAAAAGTTTTGTTGAAAAGTGTCATTATCAGCAGAGGCAAAAAAATAGGGGAAAAATTTTACAAAAAAAAGAGAGAGAGGATTCTTTGAATAAAAAATATTCACACTCCCACGTAAAATTTTCTTGCTCGGATGCCGACAGAGTATAGATACTAATATAAATATTTAAAAATAAACATCTAAATTTAAAAAGAAAATCGACAAGAAATATTTACATACTAAGTAATTTAGAAGGAAAAGTTTTAGTAAATAAGGTTTAAAAATGAAAAAGAAAATTAATTTTTAAAAACTAAAATGTTAAAAATTATAAAATTTCTAATTATGTGTGTGTGTGTGTGAATAAACTAAAAATAATTTTAAATCAAAAGATAATTTTCACATTTAAATGAGAAAATTTGTTAACAAAATGTATATACATAGATTTAAATATTTGTTGTGTATATGGGAAGTTTGCCAAAATTAGAAGAATTTCAATGAAATCTAACAGCCAGCTGGTCGACTAACATGTACATATTCTTCTTTTATTTTGGATAGTTGTTCCCGTGGGAGAAAAACTAGAAATATGCCCATTTGGAGACAAAAACCTTTAAAGCAAAAAACTAAAGCAAAATCGTTCTTCCTTTTACTCAAATATTTCCCTCAATTTTTTCTTTTATTTATCGCAAACAAAAGCAGTCAGTATTTTTCTTTTACGTTCCTTTCCCTACTAATTTCCACCCCCGCAGGGGTGGAAAAGCAAAGGGGTAACTCTTGGGCATTCCATAATATTAGAATGCTAGGCGGCACTTTCAGGACGTGAAGGTTCTCTATCTCTGCATTTAATAGAAAAAAGTTAAATACGAAGCACTAATTTGCCACTAAATGAAAAAAAAGCGAAAACAGATTTAAAGACTAAGCTAATATGGAAAGCAGGTAATGGGATGGGGCAAATCCTTGAGAAATATTTTAGTAAAAGTTATTTTGTTTGGAAAACTAAAGAAGAAAATAAATAAATATTATTTGTATATAGTTTAAAAATATATTAAGAGATATTAACAGGGATGGAAGCAGATGTGGATTGCTTGTTGCGATTGTGTAAAATTATTATTTTACAAATTTTATAGTTAGAAAATGTATTAAAATATGTAGATAATTAAAAAAAGATATATTATTGCTTAATTTAAAAATAGGATGGTTATAATATATTACCATTAAATTGACAAATAATAGAGAGATAATGGATTGTGAAGCCTATAATTTAATGGTAATTTAATGTACTCATAAAACAAAATGAAAATACATGAGTACAAAAAGTTACTATATGGTAATTTTTTGGTTGAGAATAAATTTACTAATGTAGAATTTTAATAGTATATTAACGTTAATTAAGTATCAATCTCCTTTAATTCTAAAAAATTTAAATTAAAATTTTATAAAAAGATTTATGTATAAGGAAAAATATAAATTTAGAAAAGGTTTTTTTAATTTGGGGCGTTAATAGCGAAGAATATGCAAATATGAGCATTTTAAGAAGTAATTTTTAAAATAGTTGCAGAACTTTTTAGCTCAATAATATCTGGATTTAATTAATTAAACACCAGGGAATAAAACAGAATTAAATAATTAATTATAATGTAGTAGCCAATTTTTGTCATGTCTAGTTCAACTAATTAGTCGCAAAATCTCATAACCCAACTCGATTTACTCGAGTTATGCAACAAAACCCCAAAGCCAAATCCATTACCCAAAAAACCTTATTTAAATTCAAAGACACCTTCGTCGTCGAATTCATGAGCACTATCATCTTCAAAAAGATAATAGTTTGAGGGTCGACGATCTACGGGTATAATTGCATCAGCCGTCATTGGTGCCCCACTCCCCGTACATGTACCACTAACAGTTTCAGGATTTGTTGGTTGACCACAAGCTGAGTGGATATTTATAATCGAATCAGTCGAATAAACTGTGGCTGATGTATAAGAAGGATCATAACCGACACTCGAATTATTTCCTTTATTATTATTGTTATTGTTAATTGCTGAAATATTGTTGGCAACACAATTAGAAGAATGATTTTGATGAATAGTATAAGGTGTTCCGCTACTCATTGTTCGACAACGATGGTTGTTATCTGGCCCTGATTGTCCGGCGGTAGTTGAACTAGAACCGCCTGAGTTTTGCTCTATTGAATAATTACATTCCTGAAAGAAAAAATTTAAGTTTAATTGATAATAATAATAATTTTAAGTGAAATATTTTTTGAAAGTATTATAAAATTTATTTGACATTTTTTATAAATAAAAAGCCATTAAAATTTTTATTTTACATTTAAAAATATATTACTTGTGTTTCGGAATATTTCTTCTTAGAATTTGGTATTTGTTGAATAATTATTTGGCCTGTTGATCTAGGTCTACGCATTTTAAATCGTTGTTGTTGCTGAGAAGGAGTGAATGGATGTTGTTGTTTTTGTTGCATTTGAATAATTTGTATTCGTCTTTGACTTAAAGGTGTTTGTTGGCTATTACTTCCTTGTGTACTCCCACTACCTAAACTACAACTAGCATCATCACCCGAATCTTTACGAATTTCTTGGCTTTGCGGAGATTGTGAAAGTTGTTGTTGTGGTTGGCAACGACGTTGATGATGTAATCGATTAATTAATGTATTACTGCCAGCACAGGCTAAATGTGCTGATTGTTGAGACGAGGTACCAGATGGACGAACATGAAAAACACGAGCACCGGTGCGTACTTCACGTTCACATCCTAAAATATTTTTTATATAGAATTAATATATCCATTTCTATAAACTAAAACTCGCCTTGATAAGTATGAGGATTTGGTGCAGCAGTAATAATTAATGGAGGAGATGGGGTCTCCTCACCCAAATCTCCACCAGAATTTCTACTACGTCCATTCATCAAAGTAACTGTTCTAATACGTCCAGGACACTGACTTGGATGCAAAAGGCTAGCACCACTCCCAACACTTCCAAAACTACTCCCAGGAGATGAACAAAAACTTGTCTCAGACGCATATTTTCGTAATCGTCTGTGCTGGGGAGCCTTTTTACGAGGAATTCCACTTATGGGCAATGTTCCACCACTGCCAGCTTTACTGTAATGCTGAAGAACAAAACGGTCGGCTACCGTTGTTAAATTTGGAGGAGGTGTAAATGAAGTAATTTCTTAATAGGAATGAGTTTTAAATATTTTTGTACATATTTTAAAAAATTAAATAATATTAAATAATTAATGATGACTAGTTTTAAATAATAATAAAATACCATTTTGTGTATTTGTACAGCAAGGACAACAACCGGTAGATAAAGAACAATTTTGCTTAAATTTAGGTGAATGCTGTTGAAGCAATAGAGGCTGTTTAATTTCTTTATTCCTTCCTTGTTGTTTAGAATTTAATAAATGATGGGGAGTTTTACTAAAAATATTTGTAAAAAAAATAAAAAAATGTTATTTTAAGTTTTTTAATGTTATGTAATTATTAAATTGATTTAAAATTTGTTTATTTTAATTTCCGTTCAATTACCTAATTCTTTCCTCTTCGCTACATTGTTTATCAATTATAATTTTCTGTGGTTGATTTTCAGGTATTTCAACATGTAGAGGTTGTATTAATTCTTCATTTTCTTTTATTTTCTCTTCAGAATTTTTAACAGAACAAACATTAATTTCATTTTTATGTTTTTCTTGTTGTTCTTTTGTTAATATTTTTTGTTGTTTTTGATGATTGTGTTCGTTGTCCATTCGAAGAAAAAAGAAAATTTGAAGCAAGTTAAATTTATTCCCAACAGAACAATTTTTGTGTTCAAACCCTCTATACTCACTTTTTAATTTTCTATAATTTTAATTTCAAAAATAATGCCGTTGAACTATCATTATTGAAAATAAGTGTTGCGTTTATTTGATAAAGAATTGACTAAATTTATAATTATTTTAGAAGATATATTGTTTAATATCCCAAACAATTAGAAATAGAATTTAATGAAAAAGTAATCGTGAATCTTTAAAGATTAGAATTTTAACCAAAATATGGACCTATTTTGTTAAAATTTAACTTATTTGGCCTATTTCAAATATTTTTAGACCGATTTTTGCATTAGAATAGGAACCTGTTTCTCAATTTCAAGACTTAAAATGTTTTAAACGTCTCAAAAATCACTATTTTATGCTACAACTGGATAGAGGTTGAAAATTCAGTGTTGGAGTTTTTCTTGAAAATTCAGCTCTTTAGCAAGGCAGGAAAAATTTTTAAAAAAGATTTAACAGAAAATATTAGAATTGACGGATCAAGAGAGAAAGAATTTTCTCAAAATCTCGAAAAATGTTTGTATGAGAATGGAGATCGATATTTAAAAATATCGACAGAGATTTTTGTTCAAAATTCTGTCATGGTTCTCAAAGTCAGGATTTTAGCCGGAAAAGGTTGGGTTTCGGTATAAAGGTTAAACGAGACCTGGATCCAACCCTAGTTTAAATTATTAAACAAAACAGGCTATGTAAATACTTATTTTCTTATAAATATTATACAAATTATATAGATATTCTCGGCAATTTTTCTTAAATTTTTCATTTTATCACGCTTTCCTTCCAGGCACATAAACCAACGAGGCGCGGAAAAGCAAAATTGTTATTTTTTCTTTTCCTTTACCTCCTCGCTTTTAGGTAAAAAACAAAAAAAAAGAAAATTTAATTAGAGAGTTTATTTGTAAAAATAAAGAAAAGTAGGCTAATAGAAAAGGCAACGATTTAGTGAGAGTTTAACTTTTTTTCATGAAAATTGTTCCGATAAATTAAAAATAAATTATAACGGATAAATAATTATTTAAATATTTCTTTGAAAGTTTCTCATAATTTTTTGTTTAAAATTGGATATTGTAGCCAAGACTACAAAGACTACAATTTATGTAAATATTTTTGACTAATATTACAAAAATAATTAAATATTATGGATGTTATTTTTAGATATGAAAAAAAACAAAATCTGAAGTGAAATTATTGATAAATAAATTATTTATACAAGAAATATACTATTACAAAAAAAACTTTTTTTTGAAAAATAGTTGAAAAAAATAAATAGATTTTCGATAAAAAATTCTTTTAGTTAAACTTATTAAAAAAAGATATATTTATTTTTTAAAGTTTTAAGGTGATAAAAAGAGAAGAAAATAAAAGAAAAGTCACAAGATTTGTTTAAAAAATTCCAAACAGATTTTTAAAAGAAAGGCAAATTGAGTTAATGAGCGGACAAGAAAAGTGGAATTTTTTAAGACTTGAATTGTGGACAGCAGACAAAGAAATAAAAATAAAAGCCAATAAATAAATTGTTAGGGAAATAAATGTAAAAATAAATTAATTAATTAAAAATATTTTTAAAAAAATAAAAATTATTAGCATATGTACTATATTATAATTAAAACTTAATACAAAAATGTTATTTTAATTTTAACAAAATTGAAACACTACAGAACATTTTTAAATAAACAAATAAATAGTTTGAAAAAAATGCCACAATTTATGTATCGATGGACAGTTTTCACTCAATATTTACATATTTTTTATCTTCTCGGATTTCATTAAGATATCCCCAACATTACCGCAAGGCATTTCTCATTTTTCGCCTCCCCCTCAACGTTTTTATTGTAAAAAGTATTTTTACTTTTCTAAAACAAACTTTCATTTATTTTAATTAATTTTCTTAACTTTAATTTTTAAAAACAAAAAAATGGTTAGAAATTTCTGCAAGATTTAGAAAAAAAGGATGGCAACCAAAGGCAAGGGGGAAAAAAGAATTGTTGATAGTAAATGCAAAACAAGTAAATTAATGCAAATTAACCATCCTGAAAATAAAAAAAAAAAGTGTGGGAAAAGAAGGAGAAAAAACTGAATTAATGAAATAAAAAATGTTTGTGGCATTTATTCTGACAGATTCTCTCAGCTAATTTTTTTGCCGTTCTTAACCATTGTTCGGCAAAAAAAAAAGTAAAATGTTCTGGTAAAATTATTGAAATTACGTTTATGTCCTTAAGGGATAAAAAGGGAAAAGTTTAGAGAAGAAACAATTGCCAAAAGCAAAAAAAGAATTTAGTTGACTTATGCAGATTATCCCTCCCCCCTCCTCCTTATATGATGGGATAAAAATGAAAAATAAAAAAAATTTAAATTTTATTTTTCTGGATTGTGAATGAAAAAAGGAGGGGGAAGGAAATGAACAAAAAAGCTTTGAAGAAGGGAATAAAAGACAAGTCAAAGAAGATATTGCCGCCTTTCTAAGCATTTTATGCGAGAAAGAGGTAAATAAATGTGAAAAGGTTTTATAACTTTTTAAAAGTAAACGTCTAAAAAACAATGAAATAAACACGTTTATGTCGGAAATGTCAATCGGAAAGCAATGAAAAAAATATAAAGGTTCAAATAAGTAGACAGGAATGAAGCTATGTAGAACATGACTGCTGTAATTGCTTAATCAAATAAACAATAATATTTTCACATGCTTCTAAGTATAAAGGTCTCCCGACTTTCCCATCCAAGTCTCGACACCGAATTCTCTCCATTATTCTTTGTACCCCACTTTTACATGGAAAATAAATTAAGTATAATAAATAGTTAAGAATAGAAGAACCCTAGTTGGATATCCCTAGACATATCAGAAAATATTTTCCCCGTTAGTGTAAAAATAGTTCACATTTTTTGTGTTTACATTTTTATATGGAAATCCTTTACAATTTTAATTTAGCGATTTTTGAATTATTTAAAATATTCTAAGCTTAAAATTAATGCTGGTTATTAAAAGTTTGAGTAATGCTTCTTTTGTTAAAGAGAATAAAGCGAGGAAAAACTTTCTTTTCATTATTTAGTTAGCAGGTAATCGGTTTTTAAATCTAAATTTTATCTTATGTTTCAGTAACTAAGTAATCAATCTTACTACTCAAAGTTCTAATAAAACCTTCAAGTATTCACATTTTTACTCATTTTTTTCATTTGAACTAATAAAACTTCTATTTAATTTTCTCATACAAATGTCAATTGTGGAAAAGGAAAACTTTTAAAAAAATTAACAGGTGTTTTACTAATAGACTTTATACTTTTAACACAATTTTTCTTAGAGGAAAAATAAAATTTAAGGAAGTAATTTATTTTTTATTTTGTTTGTTGTTATCCAATTTTTGACGATCTTAATTGATAAAATAAAACAATTTATTTTAAATGTTCGGAAGGAATTTTGTAATTATTTTTTCAAACAAATATTTTTTTAAAATATTGATTTAAAATTTTGTTGAGTTTTAAGGTATTAGACAAAGAAATAAAATAAAAAGAAAAAGCAAAAATGATGAATGGATATTAAAAAAACGAACGGAGAATGTGGATAGAGTATTGCAAATTGTCCCCAGGGGGCGCTTCAATTGGCACAAGTGAAAAAAATATTTTTAAAGGATTTTAAAAAATTATAAAAAAATATTTTTTTTTAAATCCGCAGAAAATATCAGAATAAGGGAATAGTAAATGTAGGGGAATTTTTTAGAAATAAAAAATAAGAATTTTAGATATAAAATATTAAATTACTCTGCTAAGGTTTTACTTTACGCATTTAATATTTAATTAGTGTGTAGGTTTTATTTAAAAAAAAATTAGCAATGCTTAGTCTCTCAGTCAAACATATTTTAATAGTTGTTAAAACATTTGCCCTTTTTACTCCCTCAAACATTACTTCTACTATATCCATGATGCCATAAAAATTATTTTATTTATTAGCAAGATACTAATATAATGCCCCCGTTTTGATAGAAAGGCGTCTAAATGTGTGAATTTGTTATTTGGCGTGAGGGAATGGAAATGAGTAAAAAAGAATGAATTTTAGGTGAGGGTGGATTTCGAGTATTAGTTAGCTTGGAAAAAAGAAAAAAAATGGAAAGCTGGAAATAAATGAAAGAAAAATGAGCAGTAATACTAAATAATAATATTAATTCTCTCGCATTTATACACACACACACACTTGGCAAAAAAAGATATGAAAAGAAAATTAAAAAATAGTAAAAATCAATTTTAAATAATGAAAAAATAAGGAAATGGGTCCTGAAAAAAATTTTTTAATTAATAAAAATATTTTTAGAAATAATTTAAAATATTTAGTATTAAATCTAAATTTTCATTAAGGCAAATCAATTTATTGTATTCGAAATCTATTAACAATAAAATCTAAACATTTAATAATTAAATGTAATTTTTATAAACTTGAAAAATTAATTTATAAAATATATATCTTTAATAACCTCCTTGTACTTGCAGCTTTAAAAAAATAATTTAAAGCTGCAATTAAAGAATTCTTATTAGATTGAAAAACGGAAGTAATTTTGTTAAAATTTATAAAAACGGAAAATTAGTATTTTATATGTAATTTTTATTTTAAAAGTAAAACACTTACGTTTATATTAAAATTATTTTTATTTAAAATTATTCTTTTTCGTATTAAAATTTTAAATTAAAATATTATTTAATAAAATTGAGACAGATTGCGACATAAAAAAACTCAAAAAAATAATTGCCTACCGATACTGAAGGGCTCAAAGTCTTCATATTCATCCTCTCCATAAGTACCACTGTATTGGAATTGAAGACCATCCAAACAAGATTCTGGATCTGATTGAAAAGAGCCAACAGAAGGACTGGCACCACAACGAGGAATCTTTTTTAATAATATTTTAATCAAAATATAAATTTATTTTTCCCTCACAGTTAATAAATCTCCATCTATATTTGGCCGGTAAATTGGACTGTTGAGTGTTTGTGCAAATAGATTTTGTGTCGAATTGTGATTTGGTGATGGTGAAGGAGGTGGAAATATTTCTAGTCTAGGCCTTCCTTAAAATGAAAAATATTTTTGATATGCTAATTCTGAAAGATCAAAAGTTTTAGAGGTAGCTTCAGGGTGGCCCTAAACAGTCCCTCAAAAATAGGGAAAAATAGGGCAAAAATAGGATTATTATTTTAAACATTTAAAAATTATTAAATTTCATGCTAAATTCTGCATAGCTTTCACTGGTTTTAACTAAATTAAGATCAGAAAAATAATGTGTCAAAAAGGGAAAATCCTCTACAAATAAGATAAAAGCGTCACTAAAAGGGTCATTAAAGGGATAGCTTAGAGAAGAATCAAATCCAAATTAATTTACTTTTTGTTGTAGGGGAAGGATCAGAATTTTGTCTTCTTAATTTGCCCTCTTGAGAAACAATTTGATTAGGGCGTGTCATTGTTATTCTTGTTGATGGGATTCTTTCTGGCATTCCTTGCCTTCTAGCCACTAACGAATTATTTACAAATTCAGCTTTTTGACTTAAAAATATTCTCTTTATTAAAGATTTTATTTAAATTAATTAATTTACACGGAGGAAGGTCTAGAACTGCTACTTGCACTTCTCCTTCGATGTTGTAAATCCCCTCCAATAAATGGATGTAAAGTAGAATTATCAACATTTTCAAATAATCCAGTAGAATAATTACCGCTATTATTTGGTAACTTTAAATTTAATTTTTTTAATTTATTAAATTAAATAATTTTACCAAAGAATCTCTATTATTATTTCGATTTTTTGAATTAATATTGGAAATGTTGTTTTTCTCTGCGACAACAAAAATATTTAAAGGAAGCATTAAAAATATATTTTTAATTTTAAATAAATAAATTATCTATATATAATAGTAAAAAGGCAGTCAGCTAAAAAAAAGTCCTTTTGAAGTTTGAGAGGTTGTAGAGGGGTGGGGTTTTTTGCTATAGATGGGAAATTTAATGTAGTTTTCAGGAAAACCTCCAAAAGTTGGGGGAAAGGGGCGAGTTTTTTAGATATTTCGAAAAAACATGAAATTGCGAAATTTTGATGGGAAATTTGAATGTGAAGACGAAATCGGGCAATGTTGAGTCAGTTACAAGGTATCATCTAGAGCATATTTCGAATATGATAGAAAAAGAGTTGAAGTCGTTCTGACAACTTGAAGGGTAGATGTGCTGTTTACAAGCTTTTATGTCAAAGTGGTAACTTTGGATTTAAGGTGTTTAGAGGAATGGGAGCAAAAAGTGGTTGGGAGAAAAGTTGTAGAGCGTTGTGGGTTTCATAAGAAAAAAGTTGGTTTCAGGTTGATTGGACTAACAGAAAAAAAGATATGGAGTAAAAAGTGCATTTTTGAGAAAAATGTATAAAGTTGACCTTAACCATATTTTATTTTGAAGATAGCTAAAAAGTGTTGCAGTATGGAAAATAGAGAATTAAATTCTGCATCGAATAAGGTTTGTTTTATGCTTTTTCGACTTTTTTTGAAAAAGTTATGATTTTTTAAAAAAATTAAAATTTTGGGGAAAACTTTTTAATTTTGACGATCTAGACCGTCCGATCTGTTAAGTTAAGCAACGGTGAGGCGTTTTTTGTAACTTTTGAAGTAGTTATTGGAAAAATATGATTGAGGTGTCATTCGACGTGTAAAAATCAAGCGAATTTTTTGAAAATTTTTTGAAGGGGTCACTTGAGTCTGAGGGTGGAATATTTGAGTCTGAAGGCTAAAATCAGTGGAAATGAATTTAAAAAATTCTAAAAATTAATAAGAATATTAAAAAATAAATTTTTAGTAAAAAAGACACTTGAGTCTCACTTATAACTCTCAGTCTGATACTGAAAGATTTTGTAAATATATAAATGTTAACAAATGAGCTATTATTCTAATTTCCGAATTTTAAATCCGAAAATAGCGTGGCCCTCTTTATGGTTTTCAATTTTTAGAAGCCATTCGACTCGGCCTGATCAAGTCTGATTTCGGTGTTGTTGGTGTCAGTCGACGCATCTCGGCTATTCTTTCGAATGCTCTATTAACCTCATTTTTGAATTTTTAATTCAAAAACAGCTTGGTCCCCCTATGGTTTTCAATATTCGAAAGCCTGTAACTCGGCTCGATCATGTCAGATTTCGGTAATTTTGGTGTCATTCGACGGAGCTTGAAGAGTTCTGTCGAATGATATAATCGCCTCATTTTTGAATTTTTAATTCAAAAACAGCTTGGTCCCCCCTATGGTTTTCAATATTCGAAAGCCTGTAACTCGGCTCGATCATGTCAGATTTCGGTAATTTTGGTGTCATTCGACGCAGCTCGGCGAGTTCTGTCGAATGAGCTATTAATCTCATTTTTGAATTTTTATTACAAAAATAGCTTGGTCCCCCCTATGGTTTTCAATGTTTGGGAGCCTGTAACTCGGCTCGATCAAGTCAGATTTTGTTGATTTTGGTGTCATTCGACGCAGCTCGACGAGATCTGTC